AGAGTGCCAAAAATGGTCTGAAGCTCAACATCAAAAAAACTAAGATCTTGGCCATTGGTCCCATCACCTCCTGGCAAATAGAAGGGGAAGATATGGAGGCAGTGAAAGAGTTTACTTTCTTGGGTTCCATGATTGCTACAGATGGTGACAGCAACCACGAAATTAAAAGACACTTGCTTCTTGGGAGGAAAGCGATGGCAAACCTAGACAGCATCTTAAAAAGCAGAGACTTGCCGACAAAGGTCCGCATAGTCCAAGTAATGGTTTTTCCAGTAGCGATGTATGGAAGTGAGAGCTGAACCATAAATAAGGCTGACCGCCAAAGAATTGATGCTTTTGAATTGTGGTGCTGGAGGAGACTCTTGAGAGTCCCTTGGACTGCAAGGAGATCAGACCTATCCATTCTGAAGGAAATCAACCCTGAATGCTCATTGGAAGGACAGATCCTGAAGCTGAGGCTCCAATACTTTGGCCATCTCATGAGAAGAGAAGACTCACTGGAAAAGACCCTGATGTTGGGAAAATATGAAGGCAATGGGAGAAGAGGACGAGATGGTTGGACAATGTCACCAAAGCTACGAATATGAACTTGACCAAATTCCACCAAAGCTACCAACATGAACTTGACCAAATTCTGGGAAAGACAGGAGGGCCTGGCATGCTCTGGTCCATGGGGTCACGAAAAGTCGGACATGGCTTAACTAAACAACTACAACAAACTCATATAGCCACTCATCACACATCAGAAGTGACTTGATGGCACATAAAATCTTCAGAAGTTTTTTTTAAATTACCAAGCAAATGTATATTGACAAGATAGGTGGAATGGTTGTAAGTATTGCAACACAGCAGCACTAAAGCACTGGTAATACCAAATAAGACTATCCCCAGGCACAAAGTGAAAAACAGTAATTTCACATCTTAAATGAGTGAGCTTCTCAATAACTGTCCTGTATTCTTTTTTAAAATATCATTTTGGAGATGTTTACAACTGGACACAGAAACTTTTTCCCAGCACCATTATCTGTTTGGCCAGGAAAGAGTTTAAAAGTACTCCTTAGACTCAGCTAACCGGTTCTCACTGACAGGGACAAAGTTCAGATTGCCCCAGCAATTGCCTGAAAGCACCCAGAGCTGGGACAAGCACAACTGCACTGTGATTTTGTAATGCAGAAATTGTTTGAATACGCCTTACAAAATTGTGTGCTAATTCCCTGGAGATAAATGGCAAAATGTCACTTTCTGGAGGACTAGCACTCCTTTACTTTCTTTAAAGCAAGCCTGTTGGATTGATTTGTTTGTTTGTTTTACTCTTTAAAGAAAACCTGTCTTTTGGCTCTGGCTCTATGACCAACAATGTATCTACTTTGGAACATTCTTGCTTACAAACCTGTTCCACGTATGCTTTGTTTATAAAAAAGTCACGGGTTTTCTTTTTTGAAACACCTTTTTTCTGCATTAATGTTTCAGCCTCTATTATCTAGATTCTTTCCAAAATAAAAAAGCAGGTGGTGCCGACCAGTCTCCTTTTAGAAAATAGGTCTTTTCAATTTATTTGATCTGTTTTAAAACTGAGGATGTTTTAGGATTGTTTGTTTCTGCATAGGGGAAGATTTTTACTTTTAAGAAATCGTAACTGAGAACTTCACCAGATTTGGCACAGAGCAAGAGTAGACTGTCTGCAACATTTGGTGCCAATCTGAAGTCCAGTTTGAAAGTTCTACTTGTTTTGTTTGAGGTGTCCTCATTTTTAGAATTGCTTTGTAGAAGGTTGATTTACTGCCACACTACATATCATCTGCTGTACTCTAGTGTATCAACAACCAATGCACAGAAGTATGCCTCACTCAGACCAACAGGACATAACCCATGTCAGTACAGCCTTAATACAACATTCAACAGGTACAATTTATCTGTCTACAACACTGAACCTGCACCTGCAGAATTTATTTTGTTGCAGAACCCTTAAGGGAAAGAAGACTCTTCTAGTCAGTCGTATCTAAATGGATTTTGAGGAGAAACGCTTTCATTTGCTGCAGCTACCGATGCTGGGAGGAGTGTCCCTTTCTAGATGACAGCCTTCCTCGTGGGTTTACCCTCCTTGGTGCCAAAGGCACCTTGCTTGGTCCTTCACATGAACGGGCCAGTCGATATAACGGAATATACTGTAATGCTCCCCACCCCACCCCCATGAACTGGAGCTCCGCTTTCCAGCCGTCTCCCTTCTGCTGCGCTCCGGCTTCTCTCCTTCTCCTGCCACGAAGGGCACCGACAGCGCAATCCTCAACAGCGTGTTTTTAATCCACAAGGAACCCCGTCCGGCTCAATGGAGCCGACTCCTAGCTAAGAAGGACGGGCCCGCAGCCCGGACTCCACTCCAGCTTCCCTTCCGGGACACGTCCCAACTGGGCCCTTTTTGGCTTCTGCCACCCCAGGCCCCCGCCTGGAGGAGGGCATCCACTTGAACCGGGACAGAGCCTCCGCTCCGAGATCGACCCCACCGGGCCTTTTGGGCAAGGCCGACAAAAGACTTGACCGGGCGCGCCCCAATCCCGGCGCGGAGTGGAGAGCCGTTCCTACTCCCAAGGAGGCAGAAATTGGCGGCCAGCCCCTTCCCCCGCGGGAAGCCAAAAGAGGCGCCGCTGTGCGGGGGGAGGCGACTCCTCTGAAGCCATACCTACCCGCGCTCTCTCCGGGAAGGGGCCCTGGCTTCGCCGAGCAGGTGGACTGCCCCTGAAGGCAAAGGGAGCCGAGCTCGGGGAGGAGAGACATCGGTATCGTGCCGTCTTTTCTCTAGGCCGGGTAATTGCCCGAAAGCCTGAGAGGGGGGTGAGGGGGCCGAGAAGGGCTTCCTTCTGCGGTCACCTTCTTTCCTTCTCTCCTACCTCATGAGGTAATCCCTGAAGTCCTTGCTGCGCACATAGTCCGCGGCCTTTCGGGCCAGAGCCGCCGCCATGGCGGAGGAGGACGGTGGTGGCGGAGAGGGGGAAGAAAACACCAAAAAACCCCAAGGTCTCCCGGCGCCGTTCTTTCCCTCTTCCAATGACAAGCCCTTTAGCCGCTGTCACAACCGACGAGCCGCCTCTTCACGACCGGCTCCGGCTTTTGCTTTCCGGCTGAGCAGCGCCGCCGCTCATTGGTGTAACCTGCCGCGCCCCTTTCTGAATAATAATAATCCAGTGGGCGGGAGTCAGGAAAGGAGGAGAAGGAGTTGTCGTAAAAAGGAAAGGGGCGGGACCCCCGGCGGGAAGGGCTATGATGCCGCAAAATTTAAAGGGAAAGGGTGATTTCGATCCAGAGGTAGGCGGTGATCTTTACGTAAAGGTGGTGAGCACTTTTCTGCTCCGCGATTGGTTGCGCGTGGGCAACTTCTTGTTTCCGATTGGTGAGCCGCGATGGCCTGGCGTGAATCTCCCCTTCGTATGGCTTTGGCAGTCAAGGGCGATAAGTATGTACGGAGTCAAAACGGTTGCAGCTTGTTTATCCCCGGACCCGTTTCTCACTCATCAGTCAGTTGTGCTTGACCTTGGCGACGCCGTTCTCTTAATTCAAGGGCAAGGATCGAGAACAGGATCTAGACTGAGATTTGTCAAGTGCGAAGAGACCGCTCTTGGCATCTGCCAGGCGATAACCCTCTTTTTAGCGTGGAGTTCAGGGTCAGGATTAGGATTTAATGTGTTGTTGTTATGTTGGAGGAACCAAAGCAGTGTATTGGATTCAGCTCGGGGGGACCTTAGGGTGAAATAGCAGCTGGAAAAGTACCGGAACAAATGCTAAATCTGATCAACAGTAATTAAATCACATTTAATTAATTTGACAAATAGGGAACATCAGGACAGAGAGGGAGCGGCTGTTAAAAATAGCTAGTTAAAATTTGTTGTTAAAATAGCTTCTATTGTTTATGATCTAGACTAGAGAGACTCATAAAGAAATTCTCATTTACCTTCTGCAACATAGGAGAGATTGCACCTCTCCCATGATGGTTTGCCTGTGAAGACCGTTTGAATCCAAGCTTTTCTTTTTAAAGACATCTCTCCTGGCGTGGGTGGGTGGAAAGGATCATCATCCTGGGACCCGGGAGTGTCTAGGTCTGTTTTTAGCTTTAAATGTTGTCTTTTAATGCTATTAGCCACCTTGGGTCATATTTAAGGAGAAAAATGGGATTAAATAAATAAATAAAAATATGAGAAGCCTGCAGGTTTCCATATTTAGTTGAAGCATAAACAATCCTAAAAGAAGACCACTGGCCATTTTGGTATTTTGCACGGGGAGAGATCCAACTGCAGAAGATCCTGCAGCAATATTATGAGGTGCTGATCGCAGGAACCAGCGACAGAGCTGCCACCTCATCAGGTCACCATGGCAACTTCTTCATGTAAATTTTAGAACAGGATACTTTTCTGAAAAATTAAGATGGCTATCAGATAAATGTAGTTCCTGAAGGACTTTCAGAAGCTTTCCATTTCAAACCTGTAGATTATTTATCTTAAAAAGATTATACTAATCTAGGTAATGCTGCCTTTGTACATGACTTTTAACCTCTTACAAAGCAGGCAATCAAGCTGGACAACTAGTGTTATCTTTGCTTACAAGTAAGAGATAACAAAAATGGTTATTTTCTTCCTGGCTTTTTGAATTGCTGTTTTGAAAGGATATAAACAGCACACTTAAAGGGGAGGTTTTGGTTTGGCTTGTATCTTTTAAGTTGGTAGTTTTTCATCCTCAAAATAAATTCTATGAAAATACTTTCCGCTATGAAAAGGGATTTTTAATTTAGAATAACAGTGACACGTCTGCAAGAACTATTGATTGGGATTTTGTACATCCATGCCTCCCAATAACTATAGAGACAGCTTCTTCAAATATAGAGATAAATAACCCTTTCACCTAATTTCCTTCACCTTTGTCACTTTTGGTCCAGTGCCTTGAGAAACACATGTTTAAGTCAATACATGGTGGATAATTAAACTATAAGTATCTTTTGACTACTGTAAACATGAGTGTCCTGTACAAAATAACTAGTATCAAAAGGAAAGTAGTATATGATCTAGAAGAGACAGAACTGCAAGTCTTTAAAAATACCCATGAACCAATGGAGGAAGAGAGGTTGACCTTTCAGCAGTAACATCCTTTATTTATATGTACCATAACAAAATGTCATGTATATGTACCCATATGGGAATATATATTAAGTTCCATAGTAAAGCAAGCTATGCATAATATTGATGTCTACCCTTAAGGCTCTTGATCAAAATGCTGAAAAGAAACAATCCCAAAAACATGGGCTGCCGTTAAAATATGAATTAGTGGATGTATAAATAAAGACAATCTACTGAAATAATTTGTAAGTAATGTGATAGTATTGTACTACAGTTCTAACTTGCATAGTGATACTATGAATGTTACTAAAAAATTTTTTAAATGGGTTGTCGTGGATCAGACCAAAGATCCATCCAATCCTCTGTTTCCCGTGGTAGCTGAAGAAACGTGTGAAAGAGACCCACAGCCAAGCCATGAAGGAATCACTACTACCTCAGTCTTGTTCCCCATCAAATAGTATTAACACTATATCCAAATCCATGAATATACGTAAAGTAACATGAAATTTAACAAGATTATATGCTACAGAAAATATCTATCTGTCTATAAATAATAAAGCTGTGTGGTCCTTGTTGTTGTTTAGTTGTTGTGTCCAAGTCTTCATGACTCCATGGACCAGAGCACAGAGGCCCTCTTGTCTTCCATTGCCTCCGGAGGTTGGTCAGATTCAAGTAGGTAGCTTCGATGACACTGTCCAGCCATCTTATCCTCTGTTGTCCCCTTCTCTTGCCTTCACACTTTCAGGGTGTTTTCCAGGGGGGGTCTTCC